TTCTTCTTCACCTCCAAGTCCTGCTGGGTTCGAGCGATGCTATGCAATACTAGCTTCTACATAGAATATATATGTAACATTATAAGCGAATCTGTATGTATACATAAATGAATAAATAAATAAATAAATATAAACAAGGTTCAAGACATGAACAAAAACGACGACGACTACTACGAGTACGAGTAACGAATACTACTGCTGCTGACTGCTACGGCGACCTGCTCCCACCCCTGCTCCTGCTGCTGCTGCTGCTGCAGCTACTCCCACTCCTACTCCTACTCCTGCTACTCCTACTGCTACTCCTACTGCTACTGCTACTCCTACTGCTACTGCTACTGCTACTGCAACGACTACTACAACAACCACCACCACCACCACCACCACAACAATTGCTACTGCTACTACGACTACTACTACTACTACTACTAGTAGTTCGTCTGCTTTCACATCTTCTGCTTCTACCTCTACCTCTGCCTCGACCTCCCATACCTGATAGTGCTGGTATTGCTGCCACCGTGAGTCTTAATACTGAAACCCGCAATCAACCGCACACCCGGAAACAAACTTTCAGCCCGAACTTCGAATGAACCGACACGGCAACCCGTGAACTCTCAAACAGACACATCATGCCTATGAACCGAAACCCAATGCACCCTGCCGGATTCCAAAATTTAGTTTTGGGAGTTTCGCGTGGGGCCAGCACTCTGAAAAACCTTGCAGCGTAGTCTGTTAAAGCACAAAGATTCCAAACGGGAATGATACGATAGCTGCTTGAAGATCCCTTGCAGGGCGAGGTCTGGGAGCGAGATACTGCAAATCGGGAGCAGTCGAGCCGTTAATACTGAACCTGAAACGGCCTCAACTCTCCATGCTTCACAACAAGCACCGTAGGAGTAGCAATAACCAGAAACCTCTTGATGATCAAGCTTAAAGAAACAATACACTTACAGCATACGATTCTTGTATAAGTGACACCGGTACCACGAAACACCCTCATCCGAAATCCGAGAATCCTAGAATCAGAGGATCTGGGTTCCTCCAAGTCGTCTGCATCCCTCTCCAGCGCCTGCAAAGCTTCTTGTGGTTTGAGGAAGAACCCGAAACCGTGTTCAAGATTGTTTCAGCGTTTGGCCTTGGATTGGTGCATAAGCGACTGCATCTCACAAAGACTGTTGCAATTTCGCCCGCGTCGTAGCCTCCAGAAGCATCGCACGGCCCCCGTCATCAATCAAGAGTTCGTAGGCCAAAGAAATGCGGCGAAAGCCTAAAGAAGCCACAGGGAGCTGGGCATGCAGTGGTTCTAGTGAATCCATGAAGGTTTGTTTCAGCACGTCAGGTTTGGAGCTGACCGCGATGGGTCGCTCTGCCCCCCCTAATAGTACCTCCCCCCAAGTAAATGACCTGAGCCTTAAGGGCATGTGTGGGGGGGATCCGAAATATGACACAGAACCTTCGGCACCCGCAAGCGTTGATCCATCGACTCTGACAAACTGAATCCTACGATCTGAACTTTCAACCATGCATCACTGCCCACGAAGCCCAAGGCGGTGTAAACCTTGCATCCTGAGAAGACAAGCGTGAACCACAAACCCTTACTATATAAGCCCTATATATATACACACATACATACATACATACATACATACATACATACATACATGCATACTTATATATATATATAAGTAAGACCAAACCATCCCACACCCTACGAAACCCGATGCGCCTTCCGAGAAAAAAAAACCTTCGTTTCTCTAGGTATCCCTGACACAAAAAGTACCTTGGCTCCTCACGCTCCTCTGCATCCTGAGCGCTCAGATAGCTTCGGTTTCTTTGGCTTCTCTACAACATAGGGCCTTAATAGTGAGACTAGGGCTTGGGAGGCTATTGCAGTAAAATGTGGGGGGCTGTAAGAAGATATGAAGTTGCAAATGTTTCAAAACTCTGCATTACTGTGGGGGCTTCTATGGTTCAGGTTTTAGGGACTGTGGGCCTTTGGGCTTAGAGGGTTTGCTTGTTCAAAGTGAGGATCGAGGGTTCCGAAGGAATCGGGGCTGCTTCAAGAGGGGTATAACACAAAAAGGAGGCTTGACAGGTATAGTGGGGTTTTGAGCTATACTAGACACTACTTACAGAGGTTGTAAAGTTAGGGCAGCTCTAATCCTTCCAGGGCCTTGCGTTTCGGTATCAGAGATCTTGGGCTTAAAGTGTTTAAACTCTAAGCCCTCAACCCTAAACCCTGAAAGTGCGCCATAATACCTCACACACCATCGAGTGCCGACAGCAGGTCCGGTGATGCGCATGGCCATCGCTACGACGCTGTACAGCGCAAAACCAGCGGCCGAGGTTACTCGGGCGTCCTGGTGTTCCGTCAAGCCTGTACAGGTCCTTACAAAAAGGAGATATCGCAGGGTAACCTACAGGTGCCCTATAAATCACGAACATAGGGGCCGCAACAAGTTTCAACAGTCGCGTTCAGGGCTCCCTGTCCCTTGTCATACTTAGAGTCTAATATACTCCAAGACCCCATTCCAACTCTTGAGGCCCCTATACTGGGTTCTTCCTCACGGATTTAGTTTACGTTACCATAATAGGGACCTGTAGCAAACAATATGGTTTCCTTATTATGGTAACTTAAATTAAATCCTTTAACAAGAACCCAGTATATCAACTACGCATGCCCGTGGTGAAGCTGGCCACCCTCGCCCATCGGGCGGAGAGAAGTGGCTGCAGATCGCTGAAGCGCTTTGACGCTTCGCTTGGGGTTTCGGGCTTTAGGGGCTTTAGGGTCTAGGGTTTTCGGATTTCGAGTTTAGGGGCTTTGGGGTTTAGGCTGTAGGATCCAAGCCGTAAACCCTGCAGTAACCTGTAAATGCCCAATCCTACTAAACCCTTGGGCCCAAAACACTGAACCCATCAATTCTGAACATATAATCCCTGTTTAAAAACATGTGAAATCTCTGAAATATTCAGGTTGTGAGGGGTCTTAGGGCTTTGCGATTCCGGATTCTTTCCTGAAATTCGATACTCAAGCGTGGTCAGTGGAAAGCTTCACTATGGGGTTTAGGGTTTAGGGTGAACGAAGCTTAAATCGCCCAGCTTGCACATGCAACTCATTCATCCATTTGCAGAATCTGCTTGGCAGCCGGAAACTGCCCTCCGGGGCCCCCTCGGGCCACCGAGCCGGCACCCACAAGCTGTTTTTCCTTACAAGATTTGGGGGGTGCCAATGAGCTCAAGCCGTCCGCAGTTCCAAGCTTTCGCGGCAAACAGGGCAGGCAGCAGCAGCCGATGAGCCAGAGAGGACCCAGCTTTCAATGCCTCAGGAAGCAGGCGGGGGAGGAGTTCTTAAGTCTTACCTTAACCTACCAAAACCTACTTTGTTGTAGGGTCCCTATGGGATTCATACTAGGATTTCCAAGAAGAACCTACAACAAAGTACAGTAGGTCATGGTAGCTCAGCCGCATGGTTCGAAAAAAACTGCTCAATTCGGTAAAAACGTTCAAACCTCCCAGGCCAGCACAGCCCAGCCCACCAGCCAAGCCCAGCCCAGCCCTGCCCTGCCCAGCCCCGCCCAACCCAGCCAACCCAGCCAACCCAGCCCAGCCCCCAGCGCCAGATTCAAAATCGGGTTTCAGAAAAACTGCCCAAAACTTTCGGTCAAAACGTTTCCGTCAACACTTTCGGTCCGGTCTTATTGGCACCCAAGCCCTTGCCAATGTCGATCCCACACAGCCAGGCCAGCCCACAGAGCCCGGCCCAGTCCAGCCCACCCACCCCACCAGCCAGAGCCCAACGGGCCGCCCAGCCCCCAGCCCAGCCCGCAGCCCAGCCTCAGGCCACCCAGCCCACCCAGCCCAGCCCAGCCCAGCTCAGCTCATCTTTATTGGTTGGGACACAACCGTTCCATGTTCTACAGAGAGCGTTGCGGAACTCTTCGGTCGAGACCTGAAAACAAGGACCAGAAGTGGGGCGCTATATGAGGCAGGCCGGAACGGCCTGGTGCCACTGCGTAGTAAGAACGGGACAACCTCCGCTCGAGCCGATGCAAGAGAAAGGCAGCGATCTCGGCGTTCGGACATGCGTCGTGCATGTCGCCTAAACAACCACGGAAGCATCTAAGCACCATCCAATACATTCATGTTGGCCGCCACTGTCCTCCTTTCGTAGGGCGACTCAGCCGGCTTGTGGAGCAGGTCACGCAGCATACGGCCTGCGTAAAGTAACAGAGTCGTATGCCGGGTGTTACACAAGTCCTGACCAGGCATGCGGGACAGGGCCTGAATCTCACCCCAGCACAACGCGGTGCCGGGGCAACCAGATGCCGCCGCTGTGTGAGTGCGATCGCCCACCGCAGCATCTAGTTGGGGCGCCTGCATCACAGCATCTTCGGGGCGCACGGGCCATTTGCAAGCGTTGTAAGGTCTAGCGTAGACAAGAGACTGGGAATGCCACTGCCTGTAGGTAAGCAACCAGGTGCCGGAGGACTTTGTCTCGATCAAGTCGCGCGTGTGGGCGCGGCTGGTCCTCGCCACGCTTCCTCTTCCTGCATGCACGACCCCCCAAAACACCCTCAACAAGTAATCACCGATGCAACACCGATGCTCGAGGAGCTGTGGCAGTTCGGAGGCGCGCAGCGCCCTGCGT